GCCAAAAAGCGCGCAGTGCCGCTGGCTAAATGATTTGCTTGCAGCGAATGTTGCGCGCTTTTCGGCTCTTCGCGGCTGCACTGGCAGTGTTGCTTGCTGCGGCCCCGCTGACGGAGCTTGCTGCAACAGGCGAACGCGCGCCAGACTTTGGCGCGCCGGCGATTTCAGCCAGCTCGACAGCGTTTCCGGCGTCGCCTGCAGGGAAAGCTGAAATCGCGGCCGCTTCCGTGAGAGCAGCTGGCATGCCTGCAGCAATTCCGCGCAGCAGCGGAGGCGAAGCGGTGCGGACCTACCGGGACGTTTTGCTGCAAGGCGGACGCTTGTTGGACGCTGTGGTCCAGGCTGTGGGTCTAGACGACGTAAAGTTCGCGGTCGCCGAGGGCCTCGGCGTCCGCGAAGCAGCGCAGCCGGAGCAAGTGGCGGGCTCCGCGTCCAGCCGCAGTCGCTCTGCGCTGAGCAAGGATTACCGACGTTTTTTGGACGCGCGGAAGGCGCGCCTCATCGACCTGCAACGCGCTCGCGACAATGTGCTGTGCGGTTTGAGCGGCGGGCTGTTGCCGTTCTGTCAACGGCGCGCGCAACTGGCTGCGCGGCTCGACCAGCTGCAGGCCGAAAAAAAGCGGCTCGCGCGCGACGGCGCCCGGCTCGCCGAGTCGGTCGCTCAAGCAGGCGCACTCGTCGTCTCTGGCGTGGCGCGGTCTTGCGCGGAGCAGCTTGGTTGCGTGCTTCCGCGCTCGCATTCTGCTGAACAGTTTGACGGAGTGTACTTGCCCACGCACTCAGGGCGCTACGAAAAGGCCGACGGACTGATGACTTTGGTTCCAAACGACACCGTGCCCATCTGCGTGCGCACTGGACTGCTTGGTTGCGAACAGCAGGAGCTGCCGACGCGGCTCTCTATTTTTCCCAGCTCGGCGAAGGATTTGGAGGGCGCGCGCGCGGCGGGCGCGGCATTTTTGTTCGTAAGGCGCACGGACAGCGCTACGGCGCTGCTCGAAACGCAGCTCGCCGCAGAGCCGCTAACTTCTCTGGCGGCGTTGAGCGTTGACTCCGCAGATTTGCGCGCGTGCGACGGCGCTTACCAGTACGACTGGCAGATGTGCATTTACCCTGTGCTGCTGCGCGTGTCCGTTGCGACCGACGCGTGAGTTCCTCCGCGTCGCGCAAGCGCAACGCGCGCACCAGCGGAGTGGTCGCAAATATCGGTGGCCGCCTGCGCGGCTACGAGATCAGTTGCACTAGCAGCGAGATCGTTACGATTTGCGCTCGGTTTTCGCCAACAGCTGAGCCTCCGAGCGGGCAATAAATTCTTGAATTTCGCGCCTGAGCGTTTCGTCGGGCTGCAAGTCGCATTTTTTCAACGACTTGCGGCTGAACGGGTCGATTTCTTCTATCAACAGGTAGCGCTCAATCGTAACGCGGTCGACTGTGATGTTGGACGAAGGCAGTCGGACGGGGTCGGTCATCAGCGTGGCCATGAGCGGGTCAAGGTAGTGTTCGGGCACGTCGAACTGATTGAGGATCGCGTCGTGCAAGTCGACGATCTTTGACTCATCGACAAAGTGCGCGTGGAGTCGCTCGAGCGCCTGCAGCGTGGTCGCCGCGATGAGGTTCTCGCGCCGCGCGATGCGAATCGCTTTCTGCAACAGGTCGGCGCTGAAGTAGCGCTCGTCGGCGGCGAGGTGCGTTGCGAGCGCTTCCGTGGCGTGCAGTCGCTCGCTCGCCGCGTACAAGTTGCTGTACACGGTAAGCGCGTAGCAGAGCAGCTTGCGCGGGTCGAAGCCGAACTGCTGGCAGTTTTGAATCTTGAGCGAGAGACACTTTGGCCCGACCAGACTGTTTACGCAGCTGTTGACCGCTCCGACCAAAGCCGGCATGATCAGATTGTCCGCAACCACGAAGTCCATGATCTCTGCGTTGAGCGCCGCGATCAGCTCTATGCTGGTGGTCGCCAGCGACAAGATTGAGCGCGCGCGCTGCTGCAGCTCGGAGTTTGGGAGACTCGCGATGTCTATGGAGCCGCGAAGCTCGGGCGGAATGTAGTTGTCGACGTCGTCGATAGTTTCGCGCGGCAGTTCGTCCGCCGACTTTCCCTCGCGCTCTTTGATCGCTGCGAGGTGCGACAGCGACTCTTCGATTGCCCAAGACGTGAAGCTCGCGAGGTACGACAGAAACTTCTCGAAGTCGTCGGCACGGGCCGCGATCTCTGCGAAGTCGAAGCGGCACCGGTCTGCGTAGCAGCGGCGGATCAGTCGAATGTTGCGCATCACGACGTCGCGCAGCTCGAGCATCGAGCTGTACGCAAGCTTTTGGCCGCGCACAAATGCATATGCGTGCGCAGAGAGCACGAAGTCGACGCCGAACGCGAGCAGCACTTTCGCGTGGGCCGCGTTGCGGCTCGACAAGAAGTAGTGCAGCGTGTGCCCGCCCAGACTCACGTACAACTGCGGGTTGCGAATTGCAGTCGGCTGCGCGCTCAAGAAGTATAGCCCGACAAACAGCACCTGCGCAAGCAGCGTCTCGTCGCTGACCAATTCGAGCACTGCGGGGTTTTTGGCGCCGCCCGGCGACTCAAACAACAGCTGCATTAGCACGGTGTAGCAGAAGAAGAGGTCGTTCAATCGGTCTGTGAGCACCAGGCGCGCCGCTTCCGGCAGCTCGGCGTCCTGTGTCTGCGCGTGGCGCAGCAGCTCCTGCACCGCCTCGCGCGAAAAAGGCGTCTCCGCGCCGGCCAGCTGCTGCCAGGTCAAAGCGAGTTGGAATTTGAACAGATTTAGGAACAGCGCGATGCACTGTGTGTCGCCAACGACTTGCTGAAAGAGCACAATCTCAAACAACTGCACTTTGTAGTTCTCCAACGGCTTCTGCTTCAGGTCTAGCGAGCTGACGAACTGCAGCGTCGATTCAAGCCGGCGCAGCAGCGGTGCCAAGCAGGAGCTGACGGCGACCACGTTGAGGTAGTAGATGAGTGTGGCAAAGTTAACGTCGGAGCCGGCGCTGTCGCGCGGCACGGGCGGCAGGTCGGCGCCGAGGAACACCTCGCTGTTGAGCTTCGCGAAGTGCCGGTGCCGGTAGTCGCGCGGGTGCAGCCGCTCGGGCACGGACGGCCGCAAATTCTCCAGCTCGATGCAAGCCGTTTGGTCCGGCTTCACAGGGAAGAACAGTGCCAGAGCGAGCAGCGCGTAGCTCAGGCAGTAGCCGGGCGGCGGCAAGTTGTGCACGTAAAAGTACGCGAGCTGCAGCACGAAAGGCTTCGACACGAGCACCGCCATTGCGTGGTTCATCTGCAGCGAGTTGTACTTTGCTGTCGCGTCGAGCAGGTCGTACAGCAAGTGGTACGCGTGGCTGCGCGCCGCCGCGTCGCCGTGCAGCAGCTCACGCACGGCGTCTGCCGCACCGTCCACGTAGCCGCAGTACAGCCGCAACAAGCGACGCAGCCGCGAAACGGCGCTGAGCGGCAGCCGTTGGTCCTGCACCTCGCTGCTGAATTCTTTGAACGGCGTCGCGCAGCGTTGCCGCGCTTGGGTCAAGTGTTCGAGCGGCGAGCCGTTGAGCAATTGCGCGAAAAAACTGCGCCGGCTGAACGTTTGGAAAGACTCATCTTCGGATTGGCAAAGGCCTTGTTCGCTCGTCAGGAAAAAGGTGGCGAATTCGGAGTTCTGCAGAAACACGCGCAGGAACTGCAGCTTAGGCGTGTTGGTTTCGTAAAAAAGCGCGAGCTCGCCGTGCGCGTCGCGCTGCACCGCGGCCTGCGCGCTCCGCAGAATGTCTGCGAGCAGCGGCTGCAGCGCCTCTGCTAGCGACGCGACGCTCTGCAGCTGCTCGGCCATGCACTGCAGCAGAGCCGCTGCGGCGTCCGGCGCCTTTGCGAACAGCCGCAGCAAGAAGTCGGCGTTCTTCAAAAATAGCTTGCAGCTGCTCGGTTTGCAGAACGCGATGTAGCGCACCAGCGCTACCAGAAAAACTTGCGCGCTGAGCTGCGGCACATTCAGCCCACGCGCAAGTTCTCGGTCTAAGCGCTGCAGCGTTGCGTGCACGAGCGAACAAAACGCAGGCTGGTCGCTCGGCAGCTCGCGAATGTAGCGCGTGGCGAGATTCGAGTAGTCGACCCCCGCGACGTGGTACAGCTTCCAGAAGAGCTCAAAACTCAGCAGCCAGCTGTCCGTCAGCAGGTCGTAGCCTCTGCTAAGCGCCTGCTCGGCGCTGGCGGTTTTTCCGCGCGGCGCGATCAGCTGACTGAACTCCACCTCCAGCTCCGCGCTGCCCTCCGCGCGCAACCACCGAGCGTTGAAGCAGCGCTCCACGGCGTCGCAGTCTGCTGCCGTGATCATTTTACGAATATAAAAAGAGCGGCGAAAATTCCGCCAGAGACGTTCGCGTCAAGCCCCGTGCGGCGCGTCGGGACTTTTCTTGAGCCGCTTGTGGTCGATCTTCTGCACCGTATCCGCGAGGTTCGAGAAAATGTCGGCCGTTGTCGCGGCGCGGTCCCGCGCTGCGCCTGCGGGCGCGGGCTCTCCGCGCTTTGCCTTCGTCCTGCTCGCGGCCTTGCTCCCGGATTTCGCGACCGCGCGGTCCGCGCGCCCTTTGCGTGAAGTCACGCTGTTAATGCGCACGAACGTGCGCTCCAGCTCCGCCTGTTGCGCCGCAAGGTCTTGTTCGAACTGGCGAATCGCTTGCTGCAGCTCGTCCAGGTCTTTGCGCCACATTTCGGCTGGCGTGACGCGCAAGAGCGCTTCGAGCATCTGTTCCTTTTTTGCCGTCTGCGTCTGCAGCTCCGCGACTTTTTCCGCAGTTAGCTGCAAAATGGGCATCGAAAGCAGGTAGGAGTAACCCGAGTTGTTGTTGAGCTCTTGCAGCAGCTCCTCAGGGTCGCGCAAGATCCCCTCCTCCGCGAGCTCCGGCTTGGCCTTCTCGGCGAAGTTCTGCTCAATTTGATCGGAAGTCGCGAATCCCATCGACCGCATTTGCGCCTCGATCGCGTCGCGCGGTCGCTTTGCGACCACCAGCGAGTCATCTAGAATCGCCAGAACGAAGCGTGTCTTGTTCGTCAAAAAGCTCAGTTCCTTCTTGGTCGCGCGCACCATGTAGGCTTTGCGCCTTTCGTAGTACATCAGACGCACCGCGCAGAAGTCTTTGAGCATCTCGAGTTCGTCTTTGTACCGGTAAATCTTGCAGTCGACGTTGAAGGCCACCAAGTTGCTCAGGCTGATCGACTTGCGCAGCTTGAACGCTCTGTCTAACCCCGCCGAGTACAACGCGGCCACGTTCTCACTGGCCACCAAGCACTCGAAGTCCACGTTTTCGTGGCTTGAGTTGTCTTTGTAGTCGAGCAGTTGCAGCGAGCTTTTGGACGCCGTCGGCTTCTTGTCCTTCTTCTTCGACGTCTGCTCGATGCTCAGCTGCAGTTCTTCCTCCAAGTACACCTTGTACGGCTGCGTCCACACGCGCACGGGAAGTTCGGAGATGCGGAAAGAGTCTTGGTCGATCTCTTCGATTACTCCCACCGAGTCGAAGCCGCCCTTCTGGTTCGGCTCAATTTTGCCTTTGAAATCGCGGTACCAGGGCACCATCGGCTGCAGCGGCTTTTCCGCCAAGTAGCGCCGAATGTTTTCAATGATGTCGTGCGGGTTGTAGTTCGGAATGCTGCAGCTCCAACCCGTGCCGATGCCTTCCGCGCCGTTCACGAGCAGTTGCGGGATTACGGGCACGTAGAACTTTGGCTCGATGGGCACGTTGTCGTCGTTTTGGTAGTCCAGCAGCGGCTCGTCTTCCTGCCGGAACATGAACCGGCAAACGTTCGACAGCTTCGTGAAGATATAGCGCGTCGCGGACGCGTCGCGCCCGCCCTCTTTGCGACTGCCAAACTGACCGCACGGCTCAAGCAGGTTCAGGTTGTTCGTTCCGACGAACTGCTGCGCCATGTTCACGACCGTCTGCGCAATCGATTCTTCGCCGTGGTGGTAGCTGCTGACGTCTGCGACGTAGCTTGCGAACTGCGCCACCTTCATTTCCGAGCGCACGAGGTTCTTTTTGAACGCGCCGTACAGCACTTTGCGCTGCGCCGGCTTCAGCCCGTCCACCATGTTCGGAATCGAGCGCTGCACGTCGTACCGACTAAACAGCACGAGCTCCTTGTTGATAAAGTCCTTGTACCGCACTTCTTTCACGTTGTGGTCGAGAAACGTGCCCTCCACGAACGACTGGATCCACTCTTTGCGGTCGTGCGCGCGCTTGCTGTTGAACGCCATGTCGATCGCTTCGAAGTCCTCGCCGTCCACATACTTGAACGCCAACTGGTGCTGCTCCATATTCGAGAAATACTCTTGGAACTCTTTCGCGCCCGACGTGCCGAGACCTTTGTAGTATTTAAATTTGTAGCGCAGCAGTTGCGCCGGCGGCAGCGTGCTGCGCCAGTCGTCGAATTCTTGCAGTGTGAAAAAGGAGCGAACCTCGTTCTTCGCGAAAGCTTTGATGATTGGCGTGACGAACTGCTTCAAAAAACCGGGATACTTCAGCAGCGAGGGCCAAAAGTGCTGCAGCAGGTTGATGATCAAGCCCTTGATGTGGCTACCGTCGTGGTCTTGATCCGTCATGATCATGATGCTGCCGTAGCGCAGCGAGCGCGCGTCCGGCACGTCTTTGCCAATCTCGAGCCCGGTGATTTTCATGATGTACTGAATCTCTTTGTTTTCAGACAACTGCTTGAACGTCGCGTCGCGCACGTTCAGCACCTTGCCGCGCAGCGGAAATACGCCGTAGCGGTCTCGCCCGACCACCGAGAGTCCTGCGATGCAGCTCGTCTTCGCGCTGTCGCCTTCCGTCAGAATCAGCGTGCAGTGGTGCCCGTTGCTCGTGCCAGCGTCGTTCGCGTCGTCGAGCTTCGGGATTCCGACAATGCGCTCGCGCCCCGTGCGGCCCGTGCCTTTGAGCAACCGTTTCAGCTCCGACTGCTGCTTTAACTGCAGCCAGTCCATGATGGTCTGTAAAATTGGCGACTTCAGGATCGCCGTGATCGTTTTGTCGGAGACCGAGGCCGTCGGGTAAATCGCCGAGCTGTTAAGCGACATGAATTCCTTCGTCTGACTGTCGAACGTGGGGTTCACGATTTTGCAGTTCAAGAACACGAACAAGTGGTTCTTGACCTGGTGCGCTTTCACCTGCATGCCGCCCTTGTTCATCGAGTTGATCTTCTTCAGCAGCGACTGCACTATCGGCTCGACGACGTACGCGACATGCGTTCCGCCCTTGCTTGTGCAGATGTTGTTGACGAAGCTGACGTGCCGGAACTGCCCGTCACTCATCGCGACGCACACCTCCCAGTTCTGCGAGATTTTCTCGAAGATCTTCAACGTCTCGCGCTGCGCGGACGGCTCGACCGCGCTGGACGTTGCGCCGCCAGAGGCGCCGGCGCCGTCCATCTCCAGTTGACGCAACGGATCTGACGCACGGAAGTACAAGTCCACGTAGTCGAGAAAGCTGTGGACGTCGAGCTCGCGTCCGTTGAAGCTCACCGCGAGCCCCGTGGTTCCCGCCAAATCGTACACGCGCTTCTCGAGCAGTGCAAAGATGTCGCCGCGCAGCCCGTCAGGCATGTTCAGCCGCTTGAAATCCGGCCAAAACGTCACCTTGACGTAGTCCATGAGCGCGTCAGTGCTTGCAATCTGCGGCTCTGACTTCTGCGTCATGTTGTTCTTCCACGCCATGTGGAACGTCTTTCTGCGCTTCGAGTCGACGCATTCGATTTCGAAGCGCTTCGAGAAAATGTTCGTCAGCTTTGCGCCGTACCCGTTGCGCCCGCCCGTGAAGCGCTGCTGCGAGTCGTCGTAGTTGTCGGAAGTCAGCAGCTGCCCGAAAATCATCTCAGGCACGTACACGTTATACGTCTTGTGGACTTCGATCGGAATGGCAGCGCCGTTGTTGAACACCGAGATGCAACCTTGCTCGGAGTCGACGGTGACCTTGATGCACGTGATTTTCTGTGCGCGCCGCTTTTCACCGCCCTCGAACGTCTCTCGCGACTTGACGTCGGCCGCGTTCACGATGATTTCGTCGAAAATTTTGTACATCGCCGGCACGTAAGTCGTCAGTTTGTACTCCATGTGCTGCTTCGCCGCGCTCCAAACCCAGAGCGACGTCGACTCCGGGTTGCAGGAGCCCACGTAGCTGTCGGGCCGCGCCAACACGTGCTCCAGCTGTGTCATCTTCGTGTAGCGCTGCTCGATCGACACTGGCTTCGCAGGCCGCAACGACCGAGTTTTCGGCTCTTCCATCGGCGCAGTCGAGGTGTATCTAATTTCGCGGACGGCGAAAATAATACTTTGCAGCAAATTCCGCCTGTGTGGACAACGCTCGCTGCGGACGGAACGACCCGGGTCGGAGCGATTTTTGCCGCTGCCGCGTCACGCTCGCAACCGCGCACTATTTTAGAAAACACGATCAGGAATTGAATATTTTTCGCCGTTTATCAAAAGCGATCAGTTGCACAGTTCCCGCGCGGTCGATATGTTTGATGAAGAAAAAACGTGCTACCGTGCTGAAGGTCGCAGATCCTGCAGTTGACTCGCAGCCGGTTGTGTCCAAGTTGTCCGTGTCGCTGCTGCCGTGCCGGTTGGCGAAGTACGGTGCGTTGCTCAAGAAGCTCGGCTGCGCCGCGAAGAAAAAGCTCGGCAACGCCGTGCTCCCGCGGACCGTCAAGCCGAACTACAACCTAGGCATCGTCAATGATCCGCTGATCGTCGAGACGTTTCTCAAAATGAACTGCAAGGGCTGGGTGCGGCTAAAGCTCCGCTCCTGCCGTGTGCGACGGCCTTCCGGTCTCGCGTGCAACCAATCAAAGCTTGCAGACTGTATGCGACAAATCGCGTGTCGTGAACCGCGCAATTTGAGCGACGAGCTGCCGCTGGCCACCTCTGCAAAGCCGAAAGATGTCAGCCAAATTCGAGGACTGCAGGCGATCTGGCTGATAGATGACGACTACCTGAGTCTTAACTGCTCGCGCTGGATGCTGCACAACAAGTCTAACGTCGCGCTGCCCGAAGAAATCGATACGTTCTTTCTGCTGAACGCAAACGAATCGCTCGACAACCAGTACGTCGACTCCATCAGCGAGCCGCGTGGCTGGTGCATCGCAGTCTCGAATACCAACCAGTACATTGCGGTCGGCACGAACGTCGGCTCGATCTTCCTCTGGTACCTCGACATGCCCACGATCGACGAGACTATTGACGAGTACTGCGGGGTGTGTGAAGAGTGCGATCCAAAGAACCTGCACTCCACGCTCATCGAGCACTACGGCGTGCTCACGCGCATGAACTTCATCAAGGCCCATTCCAAGGGCATCCTTTGCATCGTCTGGGCAGTTGCAAGCTTCGACAGCATCTTCGTCTCCGCTGGGCTCGAAGGCTCCGTGCGTATGTGGAGCATTTACTCAGACGTCGAACTCTGCAGCATCCACCACACCGCGGTGCCCGTGCAGGTCTTTTGCGCAGAACTCCATGACAAACTTTACCTGCTCGTCGCTTACATTGACGGCACGATCAAACTGTACACCGTGGGGCAGCCTTGCGTGCGCATCAGTGAAATGCTGCGCAAAAAGTGCTCGCAAGACTCGCTCGACGCGATGTACGACTCCGATCTCGAGTTCGCGACCGAGTGCGTGCTCACGCTCGCGCTCGAGTACACCATTAACACCTGGAGTTCCATCACTACGATGACAGTGCACGTCAATAAAGAAATCATCGTGATCGGCACCGCCGACTCCTCAGTATCCGTGCTCGACCTCAAAACTGGCCACCTCGTGCGCGAGATCATCTGCCGAAACAGCTTCGGCAAGTACGCCTTCGGTAAAGGCATTCTTGGCGTCAGCTTCAGCAATGAAGGCAACTACTTCATCGTCACCACCGGCGATGGACGCATTCGCGTGATAAACTGCGAAGATCCGAGCCGCATGCTCAAACTCAAAGCCAAAACGAAATTCAAGCTGCGCGCGCTTATGTCCGCAGACGACCGCTACGTCTTCTGCATGGGCGACGAAGGCAAAATCTACTGCTGGGACGTCGAACTCGCCAACTCAATGCCCAAGCATGTCAAGCGCAAGCGGTACCTCATGAAGAGCACTGTCTCAAAATGCTTTTATCGGCAGAACGGCGCCCGGAAGCAGCACTGTGTCGACTACAACCCTGCGGAGCAGATGAAAGGCAACCCCGTCGTGCTCTTCGAGGGGGACGATAAGCACGCCGAAGACAAAGCGAGGCTGGGCAGCATCGCCATTCAGCGCGTGCAGCCCAACTGGAAGAAACTCACTTGCTCGCCAATCCAGTCGTTTGCGCTGGAAGAGTCCTGCTTGACAGCGTACAAATCGGTTCTCTGCCAGCGAAAGAAAAACCACCACATCGAGCTCATCATCTTCGCTACGGCCACCAGTAAAATCTACGTGTGCGCAGCTGTCATTGCGTAGCTGTGTACGGAAACACGACGAAACAGACTGCTGGGTGCGCCCGACACAGTTCTGCAAATTGCACAGTGCTCAAGTCGTTGTGGCTCAGATCCACCATCAGCTCTTCCGACTCGCCAGCTGCTGGAGTGAGCAGCAACTGCGCTGGCTGCACTGTGTTGAACTTTAAGTCGCAGTAAACCAATCCCGCGCACAGCGAACGCGGTAAATTCAAGCTTCGCAGCCGGTTTTTCGGTAGTACTATCGCTTCCAGCTTGTTCAAAGCGGTTCCCAGCCTGAACTCTTCAATCGCGCAGTTTCGCGCAACTAATGCCACTACCGAGTGCCGGAAACTAGTCGCAGACATCAGGCGAAACCTGGAGTTCAACACGCTGGTGAGAGCACTATGCAACTCGGACAGCAGATGTGCGACGTCGAAGCAAGCTATCGCATTGTTCGACGCATCGATCGTGATTCGCGGCAGCATTTCTGTTGCCGCGGTTTGGTCTTCGCGCATAAAGTTCTCCAACGTAGCTTGCGCCTCAGGCGCATGCTGAATCATCGCAGCGAACTCATCTCGGCGCGGCACTCTGCTCAGCTCGCTTCCCGAAAAATCAAAATAGATGTCGGTCGCGTAGCTTTTGATTTTCATCGCTGCAGCGCTAGTCTTTCGAACAGAGAATGCGCACGGGGCAGGAGTTCATTGCAGAGCTACTACGCTCTACGCTATTAATAAATTGCGCTAGTGTTAAATTACCTTCGTCTTGTAGCCCGAGCGCGTACCTGAGCCCGTCGATCAGCTGCTTGTCCAGCACCATCGCCACTACTTCCACAGTTACCACGCCCTCGCCAACGAAATCGCAACTCACCGGCAGCACGCCGTTGTATAGGTCTATGCTGTGCGATTTTTCGTAAAAGTTGAACAAGATCTTGACGTGGTTGAACGCGCCCATGGCGTTCAGTGTATTCACCAGTGAGCCCAGCAGAGCAGGATCTACAAACTTCACGAGCTGCGAAAGCAGCACGTTCTTGTTTTTGTAGAGCTCCGCAAGACTTACAAGCTCCGTGATGGTGTTTATAAGCAGCTTCAGCGTTCTTCTGCGCAATGCAATCTCTTTGACGTGCTCGTCGCTCTCGGGGTTGGCCGACTGTAGCCCGTACGTTCTGAAATATGAATCCAGTTTCGCTATCGGCATTACTAACTCATAAGGCTCGGCAACTAGCCGCAACTGGTCCAGTTCTCCACTGTACTGCATGTACGGTGTGGCTTTCGTTTTGAGCACTGGCTTGTAGTCTACTGTGAAGCTGTTCATCACTGGAAATCCAGATACTGAGTGCGCGTCTGGGTGCGTCACGATGCTCGTGTCTGAATAAGTGCCCATTTTCGTCAACGGAATGCAATTGATTTCGCCCAGGCTCTGAAAAACATAGCCGCTCGACGGAACTTTATTTTCAATCAGTTGGTTCATCGACAGCATTCCTCTGCGCAGCACACTTGGCAAATCTTCCTGCGGCGTATCGATATCCAAAACCCAGTCAACGTGTTGCTGCCGGAAAAGCTCTTTGCCCGTGTCTATCAGATCCACCCGTCGCGACGGCTCCGACTTCGGGATCACTTGATCCGCATCCTGCACGCTCTGGTTTCTCAGCGCGCACTGTCCGATCGTTTCTCCGGTCAAAATTGCGCGTACTATGGCCCAGAGATACTTCTGGATGTACATCGAGTGATTTTCGATACCGGGATCGATCGCGATAATGTCAGGGTCTGATAACGACATAACGGTCGGCACGAACTCGGGCTGCAGCACCACCTCCGCGTTGATCAGGTTGTTGCCGGTGACGTCGCATTTCCAGTGCTGCTGTCGGGAGAACGGGCAGTCATAGTTTGTGAAGCACGGTAGCAGTTCCCCCCTTAAGTTAGACTTCACTGCTCCTAGGGCGCAGGCTACCAGGGCAACGAAGATCATCCTATTTAATTTTCTTGTTTGTGTTCAATGCGCATCATGTGACGCGCAAAGTAAAAATCCTGGCGGCCTACGCAGTGGATTAATTTTCGATGTATGAATGGTATATAGTGATCGGCGATTTACGCAGCTAAATTGATTCGAATTCGATCTGACAGAGCAACGATTCGAGAACTGCTTTTGCATAAGCGTTTGCGTCTCCTGCAAACGGCATGGTTTCTATTACACTCTGCGTTCCGTGTTCCAGCGGGTCGCAGCGCCCCTGGCCTCCTAAGGCGCGTTTACAAATGTCTTCAATGCACTTTGATCGGTTGAAACTGTTTCTGTCGTGATTCTGTACCAGCAGATTTTCCTTGTCGGCAGATGCATCGTCCGACTGCTGCACAGTGTCCAGTCCAACGTAGTCGGGATTCTCCTGCAACGACAGAATTTCAGCAGGAAAAGTGTGTTTTCCAAAAATCAGCTTGCAGCACGCAGAGTTCGCCGCAAAGCTCAACAAAGACTTGTCGCTTGCCGTCGGACTCGGAAAGCTTGAGGCGAAGAACAGATCTTCGGCAATACTTTTCTGTGCCAGCAACCCAGGACGCATTCGCTCAGAAGCTTGCTTCGCGTTCGAGTCACACGACTTTGCAAAGGGCGCGTTTGCTGTAATCTTCGGTTGTTGCACTCCGTTGTCTTGCAATGCGCAGCGACGCGAAGCAGCTTTGGAGTGCGACTTGCCAGATTTTAGTTGGGGCTGCGATGCAACGCTTGCGTTAGAAATGGGGCGCGATTTTTGTTTGGTAACGGCTATGCCGTGCGCAACTCGGCGCTCCTGCTTCTGCTTGTTAGTCAAGTTGTAGTTGCGAGTGCGCAACTCGGCGTCGCCGTGTGCGTGTCTACAAATTTTGCCCAAGGGGCACGCCTTGTTCTTGATCCAAAACTTGCAAAGCTGGGTTTTGTAGTAGTCCTCAGTGGCGCGGAGCTCAAAAATGCCGTGGGCGTACTTGCAGTCTTGATCAAAACATTTTTTCTGCGCACGCGCCCGCGAGACTTACTTTCTTCCATGCGGTGCAGATCTGTGTTTTCCGCAGACTGACGCCCTCTTGCAATTCATCAGCACTGTGGGCGTATGTGCAGGCATCTCCTTTGATGCACATCTGCTTCATGAAAAAAGGGCATAACTTGATCCTGCAGTTGTCAGCGACGCGACCTACTTGTAGTACTGATTTCTTCTCGCCACCATGTGATGCGATAATTCGGTCGACAGTTTGAAGGAGCGTTTGCAAACAAAAACGAAGGAGAGAGTTGGAGCTAAAGAGATATGTACAAATAATCGCGACTGCACTGAGGTGCTTCCTCCGCGCGATACTCGGGATAGGCGGCGGGCATTTCGTGCAAATACATCAGATAGAGCATGTTGTATATTCTCCAGTACCGAACACGCACCTACAGAGCCGCTGGATGAAACTTACGGGGCGCGCAGCGTGGAATAAGCCTTGAAACAGGTAGTACAAAATGTACGCGGGGCCGAGACTCAGAATGAAACCGTCTATTGCGTCGAGCACGGCAATGTTGAGGTGCGACGTGCCTTCAATGATGTTCGGCCACACAAAATTGAGCAGACTGATCAAGAGCGCTTCGTGGTTGCGTCCGTAACAGGCGAGTGCTATGTGCTTGCAGGTCCAGCAAGCAATTTGCCGATGAATGGCGTCGCGGCTGCACAAAGCGTGCTCGAGCAGCGTGTACAAAGATTCGACGTAGCTCGCGGCCTCAGCTCCCATGTATTCGAACATGAAGCTCAGCGCCTTCAGCACGCCGTGTTGCACGTTACCGTTGGGCTGTCTGAAGGAGCCTTCTCGCAAAACTTACTTGTACTCGTTCATCAGAGCGGGCAGCACTGTGTACGGTTTGCAGCGCTTGGCAACGATGGCCATGGCGATCGTAGTCGCGATGCGCACTTTTCTCTCGGACATTCGCAGGTTGTTGAGCAGCGGGAGCATCACGTCGTGCGGGCCGATACAGTAGGCGATCTCGCCGAACGTGTGCTCGGCAACGTTGCGCAAGCGCTTGTTGTGGCTGTTGAGCAGGTCGAGCAGCAGGTTGCAAATTCTGCCCATCTCTTTTGCGCTGAGCTCGTCGTCGTCAAACTTCACGAGCGAGCCAATGAGCTTGATTGCGCTGAATTGCACGGCTTCGTTCTGGTTGTACAGGATGGGAGTAATGTTCGGAATGACTTCGGCAATCGGGGTCTTGATGACTTCCGGGCCGACGGCGTTATAGCCCGCTTCGATCGCGAGCAGCAGCGCACCCAGCGCGGCTGGCACGCTCTCGCCCAGGTTTTCGAGCAGCAGCAAGGTGAAGGTCGAAACTATGCTGCTGAAGCCGTGTTTCTGCAGCAGCGGCGCGAGCCGCGCAAACAGCAGCGCACACTCGCGCCGGCAGAACGCGTCGGAGTGGTCGAGTTTCCAGTTAAGCAGGTCTACGATCTCCTCGATGTTATCGGCGAGGAGCTCGGAGAAGTGCTCGAGGAAGAGCACGAACGCGTGCGCCGCGTCGGTGTCGTTGCTCGGGTCCGGCTGCTGCAGTGGGCGCTGCAGCGCCTCGAACAGCAGCGTGACCGTCGACGCGTCCAGAGTGCTCAGGAGTTTGTCTTCGCAGAGCAGGATCAGACTGCGGAGCGCTGCGCTGCGGGCCGCATAGCGGTTGGAGCGCAGCAGCTCGGCGATCTGAGCGACGAGCACGTCGCTGCGCGCGAAGTGCTGCAGCTGGCGCGTCGCGAGCAGGAGCGCGCTGTCGTACCTTTTGACTTCGAGGAAGGCGGGGTTGAAGAAGTGCGCGAAGAAGGCAGAGCAGAAGGCCTGCATCTCGGCGTCGTAGTCGTTCTTGAGGAACTTGGCGGTGCGCGAGATGAACACGAGCAGCACGACGGCGGAGTCGAGCTCAGTGGTGTCGAAGTGCCGCACCAATATCTTGTAGGCTTCTTTGGTGTAGTGGTTGGCGTTCGCCGCGTCCATCAGCATGATGACGGAACCGACGGCGCGCGCGAAGCTGTCGAAGCCGGCGCCCCGGCAGTTGCGGAAGTTCGACCAGAGCGGCCGGATCAGCGGCAAGAAGAGTGCGATGCCGTGCGGGTAGACGCAGAGCGCGAGCGCGTCGACGGCGCGCGCGACCGCGGCTTTCTGTGCGAGCCGGCGCATGGAGAGCGCGGTTTCGAGAATGGCCACGATGTCGGAGAGGAACGGGACGAGCTGGAGTCGGCACTCGACGCAGAGCAGCGCGATGACGTCGCACGCGGTGAAGGTCGCGTTCTTGTTCTCGTGCACGCGGATCACCGCGCGCACGAAGTGCAGCACGTCGACTAGGCTGCGCGCGTGCGCGTAGGTCGCGAGCGCACGGCTCGCGACAGAGCGGTTGAAGCGTTCGGCGTTGTCGACGTCCGGGCGCACGACGCTCAGGACGCGGCCGACGGGCGCGTACTTGCAGACCTCTGCGAAGGTGGCTTTCGCGCGCGCGGCGTAGCCTTTGTTGAGGCTGACGCAGCTCGGCCCGAGCACTTCGTACAGCGGGCCGACGAACGGCGCGACGCGCCGCTTGTAGAACTTGACGAGCACGCCGAGCGTTTCGTACAAACTGTAGCGCTCCTCGGCGAGGTCTAGGCTGCTGCGGATCAGCGGGAGCAGCTCGGCGAAGACGATGTTCGGCACTTGGACCTCGAAGGCGAGCTGCAGCAGGCCCTTGTGGCCGGCGCGGCGCAGGAAGTTCGCGCCGCACTTGAGCTTCAGCAGCAGCAGCTTGATGCGGACGGCGCGCAGCTGCTTCTTCGAGAGTTTCGCCTCGTTGATCGGCGCGAACAGCTCGTCGAAGAAGACGTGGTCGCGCGCGGTGAGCGTCAGGTCTGCGAGCAGCACCTCGGGCGCGGCCGGCAGGCTGGTCAGCCCTTGGCGCTCGGGCGGCACGTGTTGCGCGGCCGCGGGCGCCGGCTTGCAGTGCGCGGCGAGGACGCGGAGCAGTGCTTCGTCGCGGCGGTACCAGTCGGGCGGCGCGAGGACGCGGTAGCCTTTCGGCGGCAGATACGCAGCGAGCTGCTCGGGGGAGAGCGGCGCGTTGCGCGGGTCGCTGGCAGCGTCGAGGTGCGCGTGAACGGCGAAGCCAACGGTTTCGTCCGCGGCTTCGTCGGCAGCTCCGTCCGCGGCTCCGTCCGCGGCTCCGTCGGCGGCTCCGTCGGCGGCTC